GGTGCAGGAGGAGGGGTCGGGGCACAGTCCCAGGTCCCCCAGGGCGGAGTCTGGGGCGGGAAGCTCAGTGTTGGGGAGTCCCCACCTTCCCGTGGTTTCACTTCTTCCACAACCTATGTCAGATCATCCTGCCTGGAAACTCAAGACGCGGCCCTATTGGGTGTCTGGTTTCTAGAGAAGCCAATCAGTGTATTATCTCCCAGGGTCAGATTTCCAGGAGAAGTTTTTTTGAGTGCTCCTGGCTCAGGGTCTCTCTCAAGGTTGCAGTCAAGTTGTCAGCCAGGACTGCATCATCTGAAGGCTTGACTGGGGCTGGAGGACTCCATGGAACATGACTCACTCATAGGGCTGTTGGAAGAACCTCATTTTCTTCCTGGATGGTTCCAGGACGGTTCAGTTCCTAGCTCTGTGGACTTTGCCATATGGTAGCAAATAACTAGATATCTGGTTTCCCCTAGAACAGTGATGAGAGAGAGCGGGAGAGAGAGAGAGAGAGAGAGAGAGAGAGAGAGAGAGAGAGAGAGAGAGAAAGGAAGCAGCCAAGATGGAAGCTGCAGTGAGCTTTATGTCCTAGACTCAGAGTCACACATCATTACATCAGCCTGATTAGAAGTAAGTCCAGCCCACACTCAAGAAAGAGGGAATTACTTCACCTCTGGAAGGGAGGAGTGTCAAAGTACTTACATAAATATAAAAATGAAAATTTTAATTAAATATTGTTTTGGGAATTTATAAATCAAATGCTTCTTTTATCTGATTGTTTTCTTTAATGCCTTAAGTTTCACTTTTGGAATGTAACGATTAAAAGTTTGAGACAGAGGGGTGGATGGTTAGCTCAGTTGGTTGGAGCATGGCGCTCATAACACCAAGGTTGCTGGTTCGATCCCCACATGGGCCACTGTCAGGTGCGCCGTTCACAACTAGATTGAAGCAGCTACTTAACTTGGAGTTGATGGGTCCTGGAAAAACACATGAAAAAAAAAAGTTTGAGTTAGAGAAAGGAGATACAACAATATTTGTAAGTTTTTATTGCAGATGCCATTTATAATGATGTTCCCTACAATAAGTTGAAACAAAGTTGAAAACATATAGTAGCTAGATCAACTAGTTTTAAAAACTAAGCGAGATAACATTGATGCTTTTACAACTATCT